GTAGTAGTAGTAGTAGTAGTACACAGGTCGCCGAGGCTGCGCGCATGGCGCTGCTCCGGGACCGTCTCGGTCAGCTGCTTGTTGGCCCCATCGCGGAGCCACATGCCTGACAGGAAAGCAAGGTAAGGGTTTAAGGCTAATGCAGCTATAAGCGGGCAGGGTGTTAGGGCTCATTGTAGAGTTTAGGGGCTGGGTTTCGGGTTTTGGGGTTCGGGGGTTCATGAGTTGCAAGCTTTGAAACCTATAGCTGCTTAGCTGGAGTATTTCTGGCTTTATGGGCTTAGGATTTAGTGCTTAGGGTCCCGGACATGGCGAAGAGAAAACAGGCGATTCCAGGACAGCACAGATTCGATCCAAAGGTTATGCAGACGCCACTTTCGGAAGTAGATGCTACAGACCCTAAACCCTAAACCCTAAACCCTTATTATCAAGTTTACGCCCCTTGTTTGGAAGAGGAAGATCCCAGTAATTGTTGTTCTGATCTCGCTCCGGTGGCATCTGCGCTTGTCTGTTCATAAAGACCTGATTAGTCATAACATGGGGCTTAGGAAGCCATAGCCGCGAAGATTATGGGCTTCAGAGACTCTGAGGGCGTATATGTTACCTTTTGGTTCTGGGCGGTGCTCTATGGTGCTCTACAAGCTGAGGCATCGTGTTGCGGCAGGGATTGGATGTTTATTTAGGTTATGTCAGGGTTTAAGTTTGAGAACTAGTCGTGGGGGGATCTATGGTGCTGCATATTCTGAGGTTCGTTTCATGTGGCGGCAAGGATTGGATGAGAGTTTAGGAGCTTAAATACTACCACCTTTTATGTTGCACCACGTCTTTTCTCTGAATATCATGCTTGCCCTAGTTCACGAAGATCAAAATCTTTTGGGAAGGAAGCACCTTCGAGGTTTCCGACTTGCGTAATAAGTTCGGGCCTCCCTCAGCGACCCGACCCTTTATAGGGTTCAGGGTTTGGGGTTTAGGGTACAACCCCGACTACATCGAACACTGCAGCATTCTTGCCGAGGCTTCGGGTGGATTTGCAGAAGCTGCGCTGCGATGCCATGGAGGCGATACTTGCAATGAGAAGTTGTCTATATGGGTAGTTCATTAAATTAAGGTCCCTCTTTGGGTCCCCAATATAGTATTCAATATAGTACGGCACCCTTATAAAAAGGACCCCCCAAAGGGACCCTAATTTAGAAAACTACTAACCCTTATAGTTTGTGTAAGGATCTAGACAGGTTCTTTAGGCTTCTATTCGGGTTCTACACTTGGCTCTGTCTTGTGTTGTGTGGTTTATAGGCTTTATAGGGTTTCGGAATCGAATTGTGCAATTGTTGCTGTAGGGTTTTCAGGGAGGGATAGTCACACGTCATTGGGATGCTGCATGCAACATGCGCAAAACTCTCCGACCCCCAAACCCTAAGCCCGAAACTGTAGCTAGCATAGCAGCTCCCACCACTGGCTCGACAAAATCTCGACCACCAATTCCGAGATGTGCTTGGCCCCATGAGTTTGGGGCGACTGGCTTTGGGGCTTAGGGGCTTGGGTTAACTGACGGACAGCACCAATTGCACAACAGTAAATCTTCAATGGATCCATGGACACGGATTGGGGACATGACAGGGCCCACAGCCTCAAGGCTCATCCCTCTGAGCCGTGAAGCCCTAAAGCTCTAGACGTTGGCCGGCGTGCAGCCCCTGAAGATTTCCCGGTTAGTAGCTGAAGGGTGAGTCCTGCACTTGCCACACTTTAGAATTTCGTGTAGTTTAGGGTGCCGGTATAGCATCGTCCATAAATCTGTGCACGGGTTGTTGCCCGAGCCCTCGCAAGACTGCGCAAATCACCCTAAACCCTGAACCCTAAACCCTAAGCCCTAAACCCTGAACCCTAAATCCTCAACCCTAAACCCTAAACCCTACACCCCTAGACCCTAAACCCTAAATTCAGGGTTTGAAGTTTCTTTAGGGTTTCGGGTCTTTAGGGTTTCCCTAAATCCTAAACCGGTGAGGAGGTGAAGGAGTTTCAGAGCTTCTGCGATCGACGGACAGCTGCAGTGGCGAAGCGCCTGCAGGTACCCAGTAGCTTGGGGTTTTTTGTGTTTAAATTAGGAAAAATACTGTAGGGGCCTTAATAATTACCAATACTATTTTGGAGGTTCCTTATTATAATTATAGTATATTTGTGTTTAAATTAGGAAAAATAGGGGCCTTAATAATTACCAATACTATTTTGGAGGTTCCTTATTATAATTATAGTATATTGGGGCCCAAAACCTTATTCTTTGTATGTACCTTCGTTGAACCCTAAACCCCTCAAGCCCTTAACCCTGTAGTCCCTCAAATCCCTAAACCCCCAAACCTGCACCCTTAAACCTTGTCAAAAGCCCTGAAGATGGAAATCGTAAGGTGTCGGGTAGGGTTTGCGTAGGCTGCTTTCAGGGCACCATAAAAGGTCCACGCCCCAAACCCTAAACCGTGTTAAGGGCCGGGATTTGATGGGCTTGAAGACGGTGGTTCAAGGGTTGCGCGGCCTAGAGAGTTGGGTTCCGTGCAGCCCAGACCTAGACCCTAAAGAACCTACCTTTTTAAGGACTTATATAAGGAAATCATAATAAGAAGCCCTAAAAAGGTAGGTCCTTTAGGGTCCAGGGACGGCCTGCTCGATTAAACAATTGCGTTGGCAAAGTCAGCCTTCACCCGGGAAGGAACCTTCAATCTGAAGGTTCTTCGGACTATCGTTAGGGCCAATCGCCGAAGGTTTAGGTTAATATAGGGGCCTCAACACTTAGAACAGGATTTTGGGTATGTTATACTATATATATATATATTGTATAATACGCAACCCCCAAAACCCTTGTCTAATTATTAAGGCCCCTCGATTAGAGCTTAGTCTAAGAGTTTCGCTTGTTGCCGCTGACAGCCGGTTTGAGAAACTAGTCCCAGCTCGCGCAGTTCCTCATGTAGGGGCCTTAATAGTTAGAATAAGGGTTTGGGGGTTCCTTAAAAGGGTTCCTTAAAGGGTTCTATAAGGGCTACTATGCGGGTTCAGGGTTTAGGGGTCTTAATATTTTTTTAATACGGTTTGGGGGTTCCTTGTTAGAATTACATGTGACAAGGTGCCGTAGCCATGCCGACTCTCAAAACCTCGTTCTTAAAGCTCGACAGGCAGACAGACTGTGACAGACCTTAAGTCAAGGAATCTGGGTTTCTTGGGATTACTAGCGTTTAGGGCCTAGAGGCTCTCAGTAGCTGCGCAAAGCGGAAAGAAACAACTAATCGGAACGACACCGGACCAGGCTTAGTTGTGAGAGTAGCAGTAACAAATAACGATAGTTCTTGTAAGAATAACCGCAGTAATATATTGGAGATAATATCAATCAATTTCACCATCATCAGTCAGTCAGTCAGCCAGTCAGTCAAGCCATCATGACAAATCCAAGTGCTAAACCCTAAAACCCGAACACTCAACATCCTCATAGACAGCCTTAGAAGTATAGAACAATAGAACCCTTAGGGGAACCTTATAGATAACCCCGCATAGATAGCCTCATAAAGCCTTAAACCCTAAACCCTTAGCCAGAAGGTCCTCGCAGACAGCTTATAAGTATAGAACCCCTAGGGGAACCTTACAGATAACCCCTCATAGATAGCCTCATAAGCATAGTACCCTTAAGCCCTAAAGCCTTAACCAGAAGGAATCTAAGGCCTCTCATAGATAGCCTCATAAGCACAGACCCCTGGCAAGAATCTTCGGCCTGACATCTTGTAGGAGTGGCAAGAGATGCGGTCCTTGCAGAAGGACAGCCGGGACTCCGGTGCTTCAGGAGTTTGGGGTTCAGGGTTTAGGATTTTATGGTTTCGGGTACAGGGTTTAGGGTGAATATAGGCGCCAAGATATTTACCTATACTATTTGGGGGGCTCCTTACTATCATCCTAGTATAGCATAGCCCAAAACCCTATTCTAATTATTAAGACCCCTACATTAATAGTTAAAGGTAGGGGTAAGGGGTTTACGATGGTTTAGGGTTCAGGTGAGTTTGGGATTCAGAGGGTTTCAGGCTCCGAAATTGTTTTTGGCCCTAGACCCTGAACCCAAAAGCCTAAACCCTAAACCGGAACCCTGAGCTTTTTCAAGGGGTTAAGGCAAGTTTTGAGGGCTCAGAGCCCCAGACTTTAGAGTCTAAGGTTTAGGGTTTAGGGTTTAGGGTTTAGGGTTTAGGGTTTAGGGTTTGGGAGTTCAGCGCTCAGCGCTTCAGGCTGACAAGATTCCTCTGGGGGTTTCCGAAAACAGGGGAGGGACCCCAAACAAAAGGACCCTAAATAGTAGGATCCCTGTTAGAAGGACCCTAAAGTAAGCCCTAAACCCTAAACCCTAAGCCCTAAGGAAACTCCCATATCGGCTTACTAAGTGGGTTCGGGGATCCGAGGTTCGGAGAGCTTTACAGTTTAATATAGGCGCCCTTATTAGTAACTACCTAGACTACTAGGGTTTAGGGTTTAGGGTTTAGGGTTTGGGGTTTGGGGTTTGGGGTTTAGGGTTTAGGGTTTTGGGGGTTCCTTGTTGTAGTTATGGTATACTGTGCCCCCGAAGCCCGATTCTAATTTCCAAGGCCCCTAAACCCTAAACCCTTATAGTAGCCCTTATAGAACCCTTTAAGGAACCCTTCACAGGAGCCCAAAAAACCCTATTCTAGTTATTTTAGGGCCCCTACGTTATTCCAGGTTTCCCTGTGGCCCCTTGTTCCCTTCCTCTGGCCTTAGGTTCCTTATAAAGCTACACACTCAGCCCAACAGGGAACCCTTCTTGCTTCTAGGTTAAAGGTGATCCTAGTAAACCCTAAACCCTAAACCCTAAACCCTAAACCCTAAAACCCTATAAGTATTCTGATTGAGGTTTCTGAGAAGAGCTGGAGCGGACCAGGGGTTTCAGGTTTAGGGACCGCATGGAGGGGCTGCAGGGCTTGAGGTTTCGGGGTCTGTAGTTCCTAAATGTAAAACCCTAAACCCTAAAACCCTAAACCCTAAACTCCTAACCCCTAAACCCTAAACTCCTAACCCCTAAACCCTAAAACCCTAAACCCGGGTTTAAAGAACTTTGGGTTGAGAGTTTCAGGGGTTTCGGTGTCGATTTAGGGTTCAGATCTACCGTTCCAAGGTTTTCGGTGCCGGGCTCAGGGGTCTAGGATTTGTAGTGTTCATGGTTTAGGGCTTTAAGGTTCAGGGGTTTAGGGGCTTTGGGTTAGGGTCTAGGGTTTATAGTGTTCACGTCTACCATTCAGGGATTAATGTGAGGGTCTTTGAGCTGTCCCATTGGCAAGTTCGATGCCAAAGCTAGAATACAAGCCTTACGGCGACTCTACAGAGCCGCGCACCATGCCTAGAAATACCAATACGCAGACCCATCCAACTCTACAAGACCCCTCTAAATCCCTATCTTTAGCCAATATTAAAACCCATACAACCCTGCAAGACGCAACTAAATGCCTTTTTTCAGCACCAAAGCTTAACGACCCTCATAATCCAAGTCACCCCACGAATCAGGAAATCCTTCATGCCGAATGCGAGTCGCAAGTCATGGATCACTGGAAGAGTTGGCTTAGGGTTCCTGAGAGGGTTCTAGTTGGCTTAGTGTTTGATTCAGGTACTGTAGAGGTTTGGGTTTGGGGGTTTGTTGGGTTTGTTTGTGTGTTTTACAACTCTCTTTGGTTCAAAGACGTGGGTTTTGTCAGGTGTAGGGGGGGTTCAAGTCTACGGAGTTGTCTCTTTTGGCTTCAGGTTTCAGGCTTCAGGACCACAGTCTCTACCTTTAGACCGCAGCATCTAGGATTTAAGGGCTCTCTGCCAGATTTCAAAGTGCTGTTCCTGGTAAAAACACTGTCAAGCCTCCAAGAGCTTTAAGACTTCTTGAAGCCATACGAGACAATCCCATCAAACCCCAGACCGCGAATCCTAAAGCACCTAATATAGAAGTCCTGAATAATTACAAATATTCTTTCGGGAGTTCCCTGTTATAATTATAGTTTGTATAATGGGCCCCAGACCCTATTTAAATTATTAAGGCCCCTACACCCTAAACCTTTATAGTAGCCCTTTTAGAAACCTTTACGGAAACCCTTTAAAGGAGCCCCCAAAAGCCTATTCTAAGTATTAAGGCCCCTAGATTGGTACCCATTTAATGCGTTTTTGTTGCAGTTCTATAAAACCCTAGACCGCGAATCCTCAAGCACCTGAACCCGAAACCCTTGTATCAGATGGAACAGCCTTCTAGTACACCCTGTTACTGCGTTTCTGTGCAGTTCGCCCAGCTTAGGAGCGGGACCTCGCCCAGTGCCGCTCCGAACTCGCCAGCTGTGAGGCCGCCCCCGGGAGATTTGTCAGCGATCTGTCGCGGGTTTTAGGTAGGGGGTTTAGGGTTTAGGGTTCAAGTCTGGGTTTAGTTTAGGGGGGGTTCTGCGGGTTTTGTTGGGGCTTGTCAAGGCTTCATGGCGACTTGGTTGAAAACCCCAAGCCCTAAACCGTATCGGTTTGGAAGGGACGGCTCCTGAGTGCGCTGCACGGTTCAGAAATCTTGGCTTGAGTGATCAGCTTACATGGCTCACGCAAGTTACAGAGAGGGACCCACGGTTTAGGGTTTATAGGGTTTATATGGGTTTAGGGTTTCAGGGTTTAGGGCTTCAGGGTTTTAGGGCTTTAGGGTTTTAGGGTTTAGGGATTTGGGGTTAGGGATCTCAATTCTGCGTTCTCCTCTGTTGTGATATACGTGATGCTTCATTCCCCCGTCTCTGTCACTGTCAGCGAGGTCGGAGGGTGAAAGCAAACCTGCAAAGTCCAACCATATACAGCAGTCTTATGAGCCACGTATAGTAGGCCACCTCATTATAGGCCTATAGTAACCCTGTAGTTGGGAACTAAGCCCTAAATCCCGAAGAGCAGGATCGACCCTTCTGAATCCTAAACCTTATAGCTGCTTGTACCATGCCAGAGCCGCTGCGCCGTTCTACGCTCTGCACAGCAGAGCAAAGCGCTGCTGACGCTGCTTGGCCAGCAATTTGTGTAATAGGGTGCCGCATGAAGAGCAAACGTTTATGGGGTGCCCCAAAGGGACCATGATTTTGGCAGTTACCCACATGGAAAAAAAGCATTCGACTAGTGCCTCCAGATGTTTTAGTTTAGTGCTCCTGAAATGCGAGAGCCGGGAGAAGAAGGAGTCGCCTCGTCGCTGCGGCTGCGGAGGCCTTGCCACCCAGCCCGGGCCTGGATAATCTCAAGGCCGGGCAGGAGGAGGTCCATGGGAGTTCTCATAATAAAACACTAGTGCGACATAAAAGTGAAAGGTTCCTATAGCTATTGATAACAACAATAAGAATAAGAGTTCATAGCAATACTATTACTACAGCTATAATTATAATCATTAAACCATGGTGCTAATAGTAATTAGTTAGAACACTAACAACAAAACTAACATCAAAAATACTAGCAATAGTAATGGTCGCGGAAAGTCATAGTGAAGCAGCCCTACATAAACCCGCCCATTGACGCTTCTAGCTCCTAAATTTTGGGCTCGCCCAAACAGGTGAAGTCGAAGAACATGGGGGGGGGTTCTGGGTTTTAGGGTTCCAGGGTTTCGGGTTCAGGTTTTGTAGGGTGTAGGCGTTAGGCTTTAGGGTTTAGGCTGCTTATACTAAGCCTCGGCCACCTAGACCCTAAACCCTAAACCCTAAACCCTAAACCCCTAGACTTCATGAACCTCCATCCCCCAAAGAAGGCCCAGATGAAGCCTATGCCTTCTCAAGAAGACCCTACCACCCTAACGCCCCAAAGCCGTAATACAGGGGCCTTGAGAGTTACCTATATTATTTTGGGGGCTCCTTGTTCTAATTTAGTGTAACATACCCCAATTAAGGCGTCTACATAAAAGCCCTAAACCCTAAGCCCTAAACCCTAAACCCTAAGCCCTAAACCAGCCCTAAACCCTAAACCCTAAACCCTACGCCCTAAACCCTGAACGCTAAATTCTAAAGCCTCGCATGAAGCCGTTAGGCTCGCTTCACAGCCGACGGCGTCCTCGGCGATCCGGTAGAGGCTCTGTCGGAGCTGAAGAAGGACATTTAGGGTGTTTAGGGTTTTAGTTAGGGTCTAGGGTTTTTTGGGGTTTTAGGATTTAGGGTTTTAGGATTTAGGGTTTAGGGTTTAGGGTTTTTAGGGTTTTAGGATTTAGGGCTTTAGGGTTTTAGGGCTTAGGGTTTAGGGTTTTTACGGTTTTAGGGCTTAGGGTTTTAGGATTTTAGGGTTTAGGGTTTTTAGGGTTTGGGGTTCAGGGTTTTGCGGTTTAGTGTCGGGTTTCGCCGAACCGTAGGGTTTAGGGTTTAGGGTTTAGGGTTTAAAGGACCTACATGTTTTGGCTCCTTATTATCAGTATTATTTCCTCATACAAGTTTTTAGGAAGGTAGGTTTTTTTGGGCTTGAGGTGGGGTTTAGGGATTGCTGTTTGGGGTTTAGGGTTAATGGACCTGCTTGGAGGGTGTGTTCGGTTTTCTGTTCTCGAGGCCGGTTGCGATTTATAGGGATTTTGATCTTATGCGGGTCAGTTTTGGTGCAAGTAGCTCGTTCAGGCTTTTTGTGAAGGATAGGGGATTTGGTAAGCAAGCTGTAAGAAGTAGGGAAATTATAGGTTGGAAGTCCAGTGGCCCCATATAAATAGTGACCTCCGGTTTAGGGTTTGGGGTTTAGCACAACATGCACCTTCAAGTGCAGGGCACGAGCTTTGGGCTCTCTTGCCGGGTTTAGTGAACCGAGTATTATTATTGCCACAATCACGACAAGTGTTATTATTAGTAGACTGCTATTCGCTTTATTGTTGTGATATGTTATGATTATTATTGTCAGTTTTTCAAGTACACAGTAATCGTGCATGTTACCAAATACTAACCAGCAAAGCGACTGTCCCAAACCTAGCACGCCATTATTGGGTCCTGGGCACCAGCAACCTAAGCGAGCCTTTTGCGCGTCGTGCTTAATCGGAGTCGGCGCGCAGCGTGCACATAGTCGTAACACACAAAAATCGAACACGAACGACACGAACAACGCAAACATACGAAAAAGACGAAAAACGCGAAACCCGATATTATATGATGACTACCCATGTTCAGCAACAAGCCTCAATAAGCCGCTACAACCACAAACACCCAAAATCCCTAAACCCCAAAACCCTTGGGCCCTGGCACGCATAGGAAGCTTTCCAGAAGCCGGCATTAAACCTCTATGTACAAGCCCGTAGTGAAGCCCTGAAAGCAAACTGTGAAATCCGAGCCAGCACCCTTGCAAGCATGCCTTTATAATGAAACTCGTACAAAAACTCCCAGGACCCTCCCAAACAATCGAATCCGAGCCCTAAACCCTAAAAGCTTTACAAACTTTGACCCTGACAGAATGCCGAAAGGAGCTCGATCTCGGCTTTCTGAATGCCGCCGTGGTGGCAGGCGAGGAGGAGACGGTGCCCTGGCGGCAGTTTTTGAGGTGTGTAGGGTGCTTACCACAACCCCCCCAAAAGAACCTTCTCTCCGAAGAATTTATAAAAGGAAAGCAACTTGATTTGTCGGCAACCTCACAAAAAACTCACATCATGCCATGCAGCCTCCCACCGCGGAAAAGCCCTTCGCCATGCTTTCGACAAGGCAAAATTCAATGACTCTGAACCCGACAAACCTGATTCGTCTATCCGCCTGCCCATGCATCCACCCATCCATCCATACATGCATCAATCCCCAGGCCAGCAATGCTTCCCCCATGGACTGGCGGGATTGAGAGACGTGACCTAGATGCTTCCCCCGAGTGCTGGCTGGATTCAACCATGCCGAGGTTTCAACAAGGCACCCCCGGATGCGCCGAGGTAACCCAGCTGGCTGTCATTCCGAGCACGTCTTGGAATTTACCATGGATCGCACATTCCGGAGGATGCAGACACACCAAAGGTTGTCATTTCGAGGCCAACCTATGCATTGGAGTTTTGAACTGGTCCCGCTTACCGGAGCACGCGGACACACCAAGAACACGCAGAGAGTTGTCAGCCCAAACAGGTAGAGCCATTGGATCGAACACGCCGAGGGGCGCAGAGGGTTGCTCAATCCGACCACCAGTCACTATACCTTGACCTACCATAGTGTTTGTAGGTCCTTAATTAGTACAAACCCTACTAATCCCGAATATCCCTAATATAGAATTTATAGGGACGATGCAGTGCCATTTAAAATTTTACGATGTGCATCTACTCCTGCTAGCCCTGCCCCTTGCGTTATCTGAAAGGATGTCAAGCTGCAAGTTGCCCTAAACCCTAAACCCAGAACCCTAAACCCTAAACCCTAACCTCACCGAAAAGCCTCATGTCACGCCAGTTCAGGCCCGTCGACTTTCCAAGTTCCGAAACCCCGAAATCCCTAAGACCCTTACAACCCTTGAAACCATTAAACCCTAGACCCCTAAAGCCCTAAACCCTAAAGCCCTAAAATCCCCTAAAACCCCCCAAAACCCCCAAAAACCCTACAAAACCCCTAAACCCCTACAAAACCCCGAAGCCCAAGGCCGCACTTCGCGCGGCGGAGGTGGCCGCCGCCTCCTTGGCCGCCGCCCGCTGGGCCGAGGAAGAAGCCGAAGCAGCAGGCCCCGAAAAAAGGGGACGAAGGGGGTTTAGGGTTTAGGGTTTAGGGTTTAGGGTTTAGGGTTTAGGGTTTAGGGTTTAGGGTTTAGGGAGGTTTTACACGGTTAGAGTTTAGGGCTTAGGTAGGGGGTTCAGGGTTTAGGGGTCATTTTTATAAGGTTAGAAAGAAGGGGGCTTAGGGCTTTTACAAGGGTTACCACAAAAGTTGGAAGCAAACAGGCCCCGAAAAAGGGGGCTTGGGGGGTTTTATAAGGTTCGGGTTTAGGGTTTAGGGCTTAGGTAGGGGTCTAAGCAACAGGCCCCAAAAAAGCGGGCTTTGTATAGGGGCCTGAATAAGTGGAACAGGGTTTGGTGTAAATTATTAGAACAAGGGAGTTTCTTTACGGTTTAGGGTTTAGGGTTGAGGGTTTAGGGAGTAGTGTCATTCTAAGGGTTACCATAGAAGCTGGGTTGAGGGTTTAGGGTCTGGGGCTTAGTGCTTTTAGGGTTTAGTGTTTAGCTTAGGCTTTTCTTAAGGGTTACCATATAAGGGACTGTAGGGTTACTACACAGCTTACTACAAGGCTGACAATGAGGGTTACTACAAGGGTTCTAGTAGGGTTCTTGTAGGCTTCTGCAAGGGTTACTATACTATGAGGGTTCTAAACGGGCTACTGTCTTAATTCGAACGGTCATATAAGGGTTGAATAAGGGTTACTATGAGGGTTACATTAAGTTTCTACAGGGATTCCTATAATGACAAGTGGTGTTGGACTTTTGGGCTTAAGGTCTTGGGTTGGGTTTTCGCGCTTCTGGATTTACAGTCTTGAAACTGGGATTTAGGGTTTAGGGTTGAGGGTTTAAGGTTTGGGGTTTAGGGTTTAGGGAGGATTTGGAGTTTCAGGTTTCCAGCCCCCAGACATGTTCAACAGAAAGGAGACAGGCCCTCAAGCACCTTGCAGAGAATGCAGCTCTCATCAGGTCAGATCTGATGTTTGAATCACTCTGCAACATGTGCAATGTACCCCAACGGTCCCTAAGACCCCCCTTAAGCCCCCTAAACTCACGAATCACGAAACTTCCCCAAACCTCCACAACCCGTCGTCGAGTCATAGTACAGCCTACCCTAAACCGACGACCTTAGGTTTAAACGACCTATGACTCTTAGCGCTGAGCCCCAACCCCTGCACCCCGAGGCCCCAAACCCTAACTCCTAAACCCATAAACCCCTAAACCCTAAACTCCTAAACCCCTTGCCCCCAAACCCAAATCCTAAGCCCTAAACCCCTAAACCCCAAACCCTAAACCCCACACCCCAAAGCCCCAAACGACCGAAGACCCGAAGCGCTGGCCCCAAAGCCCTCGCCCCAAAGCCGACATCCCGAGCCAGCCCTAAAACCCTAGTCGAATTCGGTTTAGGGTTTATAGGATTTAGGGTTTAGGATTTAGGGTTGAGGGTTTAGGGTTTAAAGGGTTTAGGGTTTAGGAAGGCTCCTGTAGAAAATCCTGCAAGAACCCAGACAAACCTCTAAGCCTATCAAATCAAACTCTTGAATGATGGCCCCGAAGCATTGCTAAGAGGTGAGCTGACAGACCTTGAAGCCCGCCAGGCCAGGGGATGTTTTGGTGCAGAGTTTTCGGGTTCTGCGTGGGGTTTAAAAACATGCTTTCTAAGGGTCTTGTCTGGGCTTAATCATGGGTTTTCGGTTCGGTCTTCATAAGGTTGCGGGTTCTGTTTACAAAATAATTACGCAGGGCTTTAAACCCCAGGGCCTGTGTAGGCTTGTTGAGGGTCTTTCGGGCTTTCGACGCAGGGCTCTAAACCCTAGGGTTGTTGAGGGTCTTTCGGGCTTTCGACGCAGGGCTCTAAACCCTAGGGTTGTTTAGGGTCTTTCGGGCTTTAGACGCAGGGCTCTAAACCCTAGGGTTGTTTAGGGTCTTTCGGGCTTTAGACGCAGGGCTCTAAACCCCACCTTAACCTACCAAAACCTACTTGTTTTGTAGGGTCCCTATAAATTCCATATTAGGGTTTATAATAAGAACCTACAAAAAACTAGGGTTTTGGTAGGTTGAGGTAGGGTTGTTTAGGCTTGTTCAGGGCCTTTCGGGCTTTGGATTTGGGGTGTTTAGCTGCATTGGGATCTCGCAGCATGGTGTCCGTGTTTTGTGTTTCGGGTTTGGGGGTTAAGGAACCCTAAACCCTAAACCCTAAACCCTTTATGCACGTAGTCATGGGAGGATCCAGCAGCGAATCACATTGCGGATGAACTACGTAAAGAACGATGTGACGGCTCAGAGTCACTGAAGAGATCTGTACTGGGGTAAGTTGAGGGTTTAGGGTTTGTGTGGTTTGATGTGTTGTTGAAAGTTTAGACATTTGAGCCTCTGCTTTTTTCTTCACCGGTCTCCTGGGTCTTCTCGCAGTCATCCACGGAGGGCCATTGCCATGGTGTTAAACCAACGGTATTGCGCCACATGTGGCAGGAATGGGCGCGACGTATGTTTATGCATTAGGTGTGTTTTTGATGTTCTGTGATCTTGCAGTTGATTTTTCCCGTCGTTACGAGTGCTCGCCATTCCTACTAGCGGTGCTGCTAGCTGCGGCATTGAAGAACGGTAGCGTTCCTCTTCCTGCGCCTACGATGCTTCAATACCGGACCTATGCTGCCTGTACGAATGTAACCATGTAAATCACACTGTCTCCTGATTTTTTTTATGCATGTTTCGTCTTATTCGTGTCCTTTTTACTTCACTTTATGGTGCGGTGCTGTGGTTTGCGATTTGGGAATGAGGCAATTTTACACTTTGGAGACTTCTTGCTCCTGTTACAGACCTTCACGCAGGCGTTCTTACAGTTTTGCATTTCCTTTCTCACAGTAACGGTGCTCAGGTAGGAACCCCGATTGCTTCTCATCACATGCTGCTAAGAGTGTCCTGATGCAAGAAAGTAATGCCGCCCAAGAATAACACCCATCGGAATCATCGGTAGAGTCCGCACAAACTTTTCGCACAATAGTCTTGCATAGGTCCCTACTGTAGACAAGGCCTAACTACTGAGATCTCCCTCCACTGTGTTTGGGTTTGGCTGTTTTCGCATGTAGTCAAGATATGTATACCGAAGCAAGCGCAACTAAATCCACGTAACAGGGTTATCATGCTTCGGTCCATGTTTGAAGGTGTTCGGGATGATTCGGGGTTCCCTGAGCTTTACAGTACATCCAAAACTGCCAACCAAGACCCAAAGCATGCCTCATCCCCAAACCCTTGTAACACCTGAAAACCCTAAACCCTAAACCTTGATGATTTGTTCAAAATCTTCACAGAAACCCGAAAAAAGAACCCAAAGTCTTCACAGAAACCCGAAGAATACCCCAAACTCCTCACAGAACCCCGAAGAAGAGCCCTTGCAGTAACCCTCTTAGGACATGTATCGGAAAGCTACGAAGCATCCTTTATGGGTCGCTTCAGGGCTTGCTTTGAATCCTTACGCCCTAAATTCCAAGTGGAGCTCTTACTCTATGCCATGAGCTTACTCGCGATACTATAACATTCTGCAGCATCGGGTTTAGGGGTTTTAGGGGTTTGGGGTTAAGGGTCATACTATAACAATAGTTAACATAGTTGTGAACAGGGGCGCCCGGCCTGCCTGTAATGGTTTCCCAAATTGCAATAGTAGCAATAACGAAAGGGGGGGCGTCGAAGGCCTAATAAGGTTCTTGAAAGATTCGCAAACCCAAGCCTTTGGAACCAAACCTTAGAACAACACAACCCAAAACCTGCAAACCCCCAACCCAGTATAGTGCCCTTGTAGTAGATATTGCTATCGTACCTAAACCCGAAAACCCTCAACCCTTCATCCTGAATCTTTAGTACCTGAACCCTAAACCCCTCTTCGTCGAAGGCCCGCCTCTCCGGAGAGCTACGACGCCGACGGGAGGAGCATCGACGCCGTTCGGCGCAGCGGACGAGGTCCGTCGCGGCGAAGTCTGTTACGGAGTCCCTTCTAGGGGATATACATATGTATGTATATATACACACACATAGATACATATTCATAGCTATACTAGTTCGACATATACACACATATTTATATATATATATATGTGCATGCATATGTAGGGGAAGTTGTAGGCTTCTTACGGGTCGGAGCTCGGGGTTTCTATCTGGATTTCTTGGTGTCTTCTCATGATCACGATTATGTCAGTCTAGGGTTTAGGGTTTAGGGTATATCGGGCATTCAGAGGGTTGTAGATGGGTAGTTCTCTAAATCAGGATCCCTTTTTATATCCCCAACATAGCACGGCTCCCTTAAACGGTGGACCCTAAAAGAGACCCTGACTTAGACAGCTACCCAAATACGGGAGTTTCCGAAAACAGGGGACCCTAATATAGTACCCTGAATAGTGGGACCCTTATTATAAGAACCCCAAAACAAGGTACCCTAATTTTTTTCGGAAACTCCCATACGTGTTGGAGATCCTAGAATTGGAGTTCTGCCTTTCACGTAAGGTTGTGTGCTTTCCCTAAGAGTCCATGTGCTCATACCTACAACCTAACTCCAAGTACCTCACCATCATGAAATCAGGGCTGTAGGGGCCTAATTCCATAATGGTACTAGATATGGAGTCTCTGGGATATATAATGGCATATGGTTTGGGCTCCAAGTAATCCCTACAAAGGCCAAGGTTGCTGCTATATGGGCACATGCACCCTTTAGCCCTGGTAGTAAAGCGATTGCTAATGTTGCTGCTGTTGCTGTCGTTCCTACTGCAGTTGCCCAGTGGTTGGCGCTGGCGGGAGTGGGGTTCGTGATAAGTGTTGCTGCTGCTGCTGACGCTTTTTGAGGGCGGTAATACTCTCCAATGCTAACCCATCTTTAGTTCGACCCCTAGATCGACCAGCCTGAACGCTAAGCCCAGCCATCCGAAAACCTAAGACCTTAAACCCAGTCCAAGGCGAAAGGCAGAGCTGCAGCAGGAGGCAGAGCATCAGGAGGCAGGAGATGCTTGGTTTTGGTTCTTGAAGGGTGGTTGCTGGTTTCGCAAGGGTTTTTCAAGCATGTCTGTAGCGTGTAGGATTCACTGCTCGGCGTTTAGGGAGAGGTTTAGGGGGGTTCATCAATAGTAAAGATATGGGTTGCTCTCTAAATTCTCTAAATAAGGGTCCCGTTTTAGGCAAAAGAAAGCGGCACCTTAAGAACAAGGACGGGCCAACCGAGCCAAACAAGCGCGTGCCATTTGGAGTGGTCGCAATGGCGGGGTTGCACTTGCTTATCACTACTCGGGTCATTCCTTCACAGCTGGTTCTGGTTGCTACCTCCGCTTTGTGGCAAAAGCTTTGGGACGCCGGGCGTTGGCTCCACGCTGTCGTTGCTTATGGTTTTGCTCGCCGTGCCCTGCATGTCATTGTTCTATATGGCTTCTCTGGCACCTATTCAAACAATACCAGGCACACGGCTATTGAGGAGCTTCTTTCTGATGTCTTCGAAGAAGCGGCCAGCTTGATGCTGGATTGGCGGGTGCAGGGTACATATGCAGTTTCGAGTGCATCCAACGTCTGTAGTATGTGGGGGCTGAGTAGATAGCAATGAGTGACATCCCATAACATTCTCCAAGAGTGACCGAGTAATAGTACACCCCCAAACTAAGACTACTCTCTGACTGTTAAGGCCCCAGCATTGAATATTAAATACCTAGCCTCGGAGAGAGAGTTCATAGAGGGTTTTCAGCATTTATCAAGTATATCGTGTCTTTTCTTTTTCTGGGGGGGGGGGGGGGGGGGGAAGTTTACGGTACAGGTCGTGTTTCCTTCCACCTACCCTTCTATCACAGCCGCAATACCCTATCTTTGGCATTCACGGGCCTGGAACCGAATTCATAGCTCTGCATTACCTGTATAAAGCCTTGCTGTATTGAAACCCAATGAAACTGCATCAAACCCTGCAGAACGCTCCACAAACAGGGAAAAAGTATTTGTTTTCCCAACAGCCCATTTCTATCCCCTACAACACAAGTCAAAAAACACAAGCCCTAAACCCCATATATCCCCTTCCTGGATGCCTTTGAGGCTAACTAGTTAAATTCCATAGATCCCTTAAAGGAACCATGGTATACCGGCACAATTACCCCTAAGCCCGTGAAGCCCCTGTAGTTCCCTCATCGAGCCCTTTTGGAGGAACCCGTGTAATCCTCTTGTGAAAGGACCCCTCAACCCTGGACCCTAAACCCGAGACCCTGAACCCTAGACTAGACCCTAAACCCGAAACCCTAGACCCTAAACCCTACCCTAGACCCCAGACCCTAAGCCCTAAACCCCATAGACCCTAAACCCTAAACTCCATAGACCCTAAACCCCAATCCCTGAAGACCCTAGCAACCTAAGGTTCCTGCATCACCCTCCCAGAGACTCCAATATCCCTTAATTAAGGAATATACCTTAAATTATAGTAGTATTCTTAATTAAATTAAGGGGTATTGGAGTCTCTGGGAAACCCTAAACCCTAAACCCTAAACCCTGAAAGCCCTAGAAACCTAAGGTTCCTGTATCACCCCCTAAACCCTAAAGCCTAAACCCTAAACCCTAAACCCTAAACCGTACCCTGGTGCCAGGAGCTCCTGAGCCGTGCGACCGAAGCCGCGCAGAGCGAGCGAGCAGCCGCGGCGCGTCTCTCCGAGGAGCTCAGGTGGGGTGATCTGAGAGGGTTTAGGGTTTAGGGTCTAGGGTTTAGGGCTTAGGGCTTTTAGGGTTTAGGGTTTAGGGTTTAGGGTTTATGATCTGATAGGTGTTTAATAGAGAAGCTTGCATAATTACCCATACTCGTCCGTAAGGTTTCTTATTTTATGTATGCTCATATAGGACCCCAAACCCCTAATTATTGCGAAGTCTCCTACATTATGTGCGCGCTCTGTTTTATGATTGCATGTTGCAAGAACTTGGGTCCATCGCCCTCGTTTGCCCCACTTCTTCTCCCCACTTCTCTGTCGCTCAGTTCTGCATCGTGCCGACTTTGGCTCGCGTGCATGCTGCCAGCCGATCCATGCCCAAACCAAACTCCATCCGTTCACGAAGAGCATCCATGGGCCAACCATGATAACGTTCC